GGAAGCTGACATGATGACGATAATCCACCAAAAAGAGGTTGTCTGAAGCTTGTGGTCCATTCTTGACTTCGAGGTTTGGAAGGAGCGGCGGTGTCCGACGACCTCTGAACATATCACAGCTGTAAGTCATCTGCGGTGATTTCAAGTCCTCAAACACACCTGGGCCGGGGGTTGGACTGATAGTAACTCGGTTTCACACAGCGTGTCTGTTTATTGTTACTTCAAACGTGTCAGCATTAGAGTGTTATATAATTGTATTGCCTAATTAATAACATAAGATAACTTAATATGTCCTCATTTTGGTAGTGTGCTCCTTTGGCAATGCTATATGTGCTATAAGCGAAATACTCCACTTGGTGGCACTATAACAGCAACAATTAGTTCAGTTCGTCAGCTTGGAAATTATTTTCTATCTCCATCGACACTGTTAATGTAACTCAATTCAATTAAGTAAATTCTGAACAGTGTTCATTCATTAATTAGTTCATTCATGTATTCTCAGTTTAGAAGTATATTGCTTTAAGTCTTGTCCTGAGCTATAGGCAGCAACATCAATGTTTTAGCATCCATTTAATCATTTGAATTAAGATATGCCCTTTTGGTTTAAATAAATTGTTTTTAAGTACAAATTTGATTATAAATTATATTCTTACACTGTAAAACAGCGTAAAATTGCAATGCCATGAAACAGGAGAAGGGCCTGATAAGATCCTCTTGGGATAAAGGAGCAGCAGAAAGGTTTGAATACAACACATACAGGCTGCCCCACTTTAACCACGGAAGTTGTTGGAGATGTGTGCAGTGTGAGAGGAAGTTACTTTTAGGAAGTAAAAACAACAAACAAATCTTTTAAGTATGCTGCCTGTTACAAACACAGGAAATGATTTCACACCCAAAATAGCATTTTTTCCCTTAAGATTTCATTGTGTCCCCCCACCTCTGAAACCAAACCTTTACACCCTGTACATACTGTAGTATTTTTTTGATTATTATCACATGAATACAGATATCCTGCATTTCCTGTCCCTCCTGTGTCTGACTCTGATCTGTGTCAAGGACGTCATAGGTATCTTTCAAACACAGCAGCCACAAATCTCAGTTGTGACATTTCCACTGAACACAGCAGCGTTGCAAATTTAAACGGAAATCTATATTTCACTTTCACAACACGGCTTACTTTCAGTTTTGAAGCAATTCCCAAAACAAAGTGCCCAACACTGAGCCGAACCACTTAACAAAAATCACATTAGAGTCTTCAGTTGACTAAGAAAACTTTAACTGGACATTCCCCTGTTAATTCTTTGCTATTTGGTACTAGATGTTTAACAGAATGACACTTGACCATCTGCTGTATTTCTGTAGACTCCAACCCACCCTGACCTCATTGTGTCTATAGTAATAGTTAATCCAAACCCCTAAACAAGACAGTGAATATCCATTGACTGACTTTCACATCCCTCTGAATATCAGAAGACCTTTTACCGCCAATATTATGGTCACCTGATAGTAAGTTAACAATTAACACTGGAGTTTCCAAATGAAGTGTGGACAAACAAACGTTCTATAGCAAATGCAATTTTTCCTGTAAATCATATTGTTGTGTATAGATTAACCAACTCTAACTGTAACCCTATTACTTGAATGAATGAGAGATGAATGATCAATATGTAGCTTTGACATGTCGCTGTAATTTCTCTTTATCAAGGTGAATATTACTTAAAACTTCTCGAAGTAATGCATTTTCTGGAATTAAAGTAAAAAAGCAAACAACAGTGAATAAATGAATGATAAATCAGCAGGATTAATGCAGGAAAAAAATATTTATTAGGTGATTCTTACAGAAAGAACAGTGTTACATAACAATAAATAGTTGATAATAAATAGACCAGAATAAAACAAATGTCATTAATAAATAAATAGCATAGTCACAGAAAGTACTTGAACACACCATTTTGATGTCAAATATAAGTTAGACGACTACATAAACTGATAAATGTACCTTTAAAAGATAAAGAGAGTGTTTTTTGTCAATGAACTATTACTGTAGTTTGGTCATTTGTATGCAAAGTGGTTCTGTATAGTTTTCTAAAATTACTGATCTGTTAGAGCATGATTCATTTAGTGTGTTCTCCAGAGTTCATATATGCAATGACTCTGTTGATTGTGATGACGCGGACCTGGAAGCCCTTGAGCCCTTTGCAGAGGCTCAGTCTTTCATCGTAGGTGCTTGGGCGGTCTGCAGCAGCCTTAAAGAAACACAAAGCAATTATGAATGATTTAGTACAATTAGACTATATGACTGTTTTTCCAAAACTTTGAAATCAGAGATACCTGAGTAAATGCAAAAAAACAAAAAAACAAACAAACACACAACTGTATCTTAAATCATGGTTATGGCTTGGATTAAAAGATCCCTTACCTCCTCTGAGGCCAAGCCTGTTGGCAGAGATCGTGTAAAGCAGTTCTGTTGAGAGAAAATTATTCATTTTAAACATGTTTGACACTTAACACTGTCTAACACTAATAGTAACACTAACACTGTCTTTGATTAACAATTCAGTATTACATGAGCTGTGGCTGTTGATATAAACAATGGTAGTTGATTACAGTTATACTATTGTTTCATAACAGAAACCTCAATTTTCACCCCTTCGTATACATTTTTACATGTATTATATACGCTTATCATACATAAAACGGATGGGATAGCTTGTAATAGGTGATCTTGCCTAACAGCCCCTCAGGGGACAGCTAGTGTTAATGGTATTAAACTGAAGCTGCATACTGTAGAAAGTATGTAAAATAAGTTACCTCCATGAGTTCTCTGAGGCTGAAAAGAACAGTTGGACCGAGTAAACTGTCAGGGTCCGGCTGAGCAGCTAGAAATTTGTAGTAGTGATGCAGATCCTCCTCAATGTTTGTCAGACATGACTCCTGGATGGAAAAACAGCAAAGACAACCATAAATACATTATATTAGATGATATTATATATATATGCACGCAGTGGTACCTTTCATAACATATTAGGTTTTTGTTGGAAATATGTAGATTCAATTCATGTTTATTATTGAGGTCATTGTTGAAGGTGGTGTTTTACTGGACTGCATTATATTGAGAGGTGTTTCTATTTTTTAGTCCTTCCTTTTCAGATACATGAAGCGGGCAGAATATTAGAAACACCTCTGAATATGACGCAGTCCAGTACAACACTTCACTAACTGTGACTTCAGTGCTAAAACATATGAATGAACACCTCTATGACAGCGTCGACAAAAGCTGAACATTATAGGCACCATGAAAGAATACGTTATGGCAGAACAGTTGTATTGGATTGCATTAGATTGTACAAGGGTACCTAATAAAATGGACAAAATGCAGTTGCTGAAGGTTGTTCCTTCCTTTTTATACAGAATGTGTACTTTTTTAAAGCCTCATTAAAATAGTTAGATTTGTATACGCTCTTAAAAGATACATAAAAGTAAAATAAAACAATAAAAATCCTTGCCTACCTGATCAAATTCTGAGTTGATGACTCCGGAGCATACTGCTTGCTGTGGGACAAACACAGTACATTTTTTTAATAATATACAATTATAAAAGATCTACCAAAGGTTTTGTGTATCATATATCATACAGTTGAATGAGATACAATACATTTTAATAATAGAAATAATGAATTCTCTCTCTTGAAATACATTTTCATACTTTCATTATTTACCTTTGGTGCACACACAGATGCTGTTTTAGTCTCCATGTTGAGCTTCACACCCTGCTTGGTGCAGTTGATTCCACTGAACAGGTTTTCCTAAGGTCACATAAAAGATTTTTTAAAATATTTTTTTTCCAAACTATAAATTTGAGACAGATTAGAGATGACGCTGTAGAAATGAATCTTTGCTTAGTTTTGCAGGTCTACCTGTGTGAGTGCTTTAGTGATGTTGTGTAGAAGAGATTGTGCATATAAAACACACGAGTCTGCCGTTGGTCCTGTACTCATCACTGGCAAAGACTGGCTGACCTGGCACAGAGGGCAGGCGAGCACTAGGAACAGCAGCGCAGGAGAGAAGTCTGATGGAAAAAAAGAAAAATATAGTTGCCAGAGTAAATCTTCAATATCAACTACTTTTGGATCCAAAAAGAAAATACTGTTCAGTCAGGTACATTATACTTACAGAGCTTGACGAGTGGCATCTTGAATAAGGTTGTTGATTCAGATTCGTTGGTGTAACTGACTAAACTCAGACATCCTTAAGTATTTTATACTCACTGTACAACACTGATGTAGGGATTTCCCTCAATATCACCAAATGCTTTGGCGAAACTGGAATTGCCACACACACACATACAATGAGTAATGAAGCTTCACCTCATTGACATTTCAGAAGAGGGCATAGTGAAAGGGTTATGTTATAGGCTATTTTAAACCGGAATCCTGAGACAGTCACCCCTTAACAATCTGCCATGTCCAGTGTATAATAATTTCCAAATAATTTCTGAGCAGCCATTTGAGGTGGAAATTATGTACTGATTCTCGTAGTTATGTTGAAGTATGTGTAAAATGTAAATTTTCATTAGAATCATTCTGGGTTTTGTAATCTTTCGCTCAGATGCTTTTTAGTAAAAAAAATTTTTTTTAATAGTTTAGTAATATTTTGATCAACTGATGAGTGTAACTGAATCTCATTTTTGTCCCCATCGTCAGAGTTGTTCCCCTCTTGCTTTCAGTAATTCTCAGTTACGTAAGTGTCAACACCAGTGCGAATGTGCGAATGAGCAGAAAAAACATGACTGCGCCTATTTGTACTAGCTAAATATGTAAATGGAAGCACACTCACAAGCTGCACTCGAATAAATAGTTTGTGTTTTTACAGTAAAATAACGTCAACCCAGGCAGAGTAAGCTGGGATACGAAATGCAAATGAACTCTCATGAAAATCAGCCAAATATAAGTTCACACACTTGAAACATTTATTACTTTTTCTCTTTTTTTGTTTTTACAATCATTATACAGTACATTTATCAATGAAGCATACAATAGAAAAAGAAACTTTGTGTTAAATGACATTCTTAAAAAGGTGAGTGACAACACTTAAACACAGCCAGACGACAAGGCATGTTCTTCATCATTTTAATAAAGTATCTTTTAACATTTACATACAGTATGTCCATAATTTTTTTTCAACAGATAAAATAGATAGTCTGTGATTTGTTCATATATTTGTTTTATGTTTACCCTTTTTAGCATGAGTAAATTGAGTATAACAAACGTGACTTGGCATATTTTTATTTAGGGGCTGTTCATATCAACATACCGCCACATTTTCTATCACTATTGTGATAGAAAGAGATTTTATTTTAACCCATATTTTGTCATTTTGTCTCTTCTATCGAGTAGATGAAGGCATTTGACAAATAAAAATGTGTCTGAATAAAGTTGACAATGTTGTCCAGTATAGCTCTAAATGCATCTTTAAAGCAGGTTGAAACTGTAGCAGCTTTTCGAGTTACATCCAATTTTGTGTCTTAATTATCCTAACAAGAACCCCTGTGAAGCTGGGCAGCAACCAGCAGCATTTAAACACCACTGTGAAGCTAAGCTGCAAGTCAGCACAGTGTTGATCATTTTATATTGCAACAGCTCAGATAGTACATGTTCAATAGTGAGTTCTGATGACACAGTGCTCTTATGGTAAACAGGTGAACAAGGGGTGTCTACAGATAAACTGATCAGTCCTCTTGATTATTACAAAGACAAGCAAAAAGAAAAATTGATCTTCAGTTCAGTCAAGCGTGGGCCCTAGAAGTCAGCATCCTTTCTGAGACAATGGAGAAACAAGGCGTGCAGGCGCTCTCTCCAACCCAGCATTAACATACATGAGTGTACCGTGCAAAATCATGAAGAGGCAAATCAGGGCTAGGGATGGAATTAAACTGAGAGGATTCCCCTAATTCTAGGAAATACGGCGTGATGAAAAGCCTGCACGAACTCAACAGTGTGCATACAGAAAGCAGTGACGATTCAGATTCTTTTAGATGTCGGGTCCTCAGTCCTTCGACAGCGTCCTGCAGTGCAATGCATTATGAATGTGTCTATTACCGTATATGGTGTATTAATTTCTCCAGTCAGCACAGATGAAGTTTCATTAGTTAACACTGGTGACAGTCCATGGAGCGGGAGGTAAAGATGACGTGCAGACGGACACACGTGTAGATGGGGTGTTTTATTTAGATATCGCTTTCTCTGCCTGGTGTCGCTGATGGGTGTGAGCATGCCTGTCACAACAAAGACAAGAAGTACATTAGAGTGAGTACAGGACAATCTGACAGATATTGTAGATATAAAGAAATACAAAAAATATAAAAACATAAAATATAAAGAAAAGTGAGAGAGAGGGGGGATTCACCTGGTCAGGTCCTCTATGTCTACCAGCATGGCGTCCTGCTCCACATGCAGCTCGTCCCTCAACAGCAGCAACTGCACCAGCTCCTCATTTAGACCTGTGTTGGATTTATGTAAAGAGGAGGAGAATTAGATCTGTGAAAATGGTTAGAAAATGTCCACGTTTTTAATTATAAGTTTAACATTTCTCACTGTCAGTGTTTAAAAATGCATTGGTCGTTAAGTCTTTTGATATCTTAACTTCCAGTTGATATGTTTGTTTTTTCAGTGATTTTTCTGTTTGTACTTTGTGTGTGTGTGTGTG